CTTATGCACAGAGCACTTCTGAATTATTTGATAATTAACATACATAATTTTTTATAGAAAGAAAAACTGAAGGTATGCACTTTGTTTCTTTGAGTTCATATGTCTCTTTAACCTTTTCCCATAATTGTTTGACCCCTCAGTATTCATGTTTATGGTTCCCTGTCACACACTGCCACAGTAGGCATAGGCATCTGAGATGGGATCAGCACTACAACTGCTAAATATATAAGTCTCTTAATTTTGCATGGTGATAGTTATTTGAAAATGGATATTCTCTATACAGGTTATTTTAGTGAAAAAGAAAGCAATATTGCAAATGCAATATCACATATGTATGATGTATTTTATTCAATTCTGTTGTCATTTTCAGTTTTCATGTCTTATATTATCACATTGATATAACATAAAAAATTTGTCTAAGAAATCATCTGTAATATATGGGGTGATCACCCAAACCATATTAAAATATTTATTGACGGTTCCAATTCAATACAATTTGATTTGATTAATAAACACAAAATATCGCTATGACTGTACAATAGCCCATGCAGGTCATGTCATGTTGTAACCTGCTTGCACCAGTTCATCAGTTGTCTTTCAATAGTCAAAGTGCATGGAAGTCTTTTTCACAAGTGCAATAAGTGTTCATTGTTGAACACTACCTGGCATCTTGTTCTTACATAAATTTCCAGAGTAGGTTTTGGAAATATTTCCTGATTTTCCTGTGCCAAACGAACTGTCAGCATTCATCGGGTGAAATGTCTCCTTCACTGCAGAAACTCTTCACTGGTTGCATTAAACATAAGGAAAAGAGTGAATGCATGCATCGCTGAATGCGGTGAACATTTCTAACCCTTAATATAACATTGTTGAGCTGTGTACTCAAAGTTTACTAACATTTCATAGGTCCTTGCTCCCTCCATCATCATTGGTAAACTTCTACCAGACAACCCAGAAGATAGCCATCTTCATGCTTTCAAATAATATTTACACATGAACTATACATGGTGATTGAGTGCTTAGCACTTCTGCTTCATATTTTGAGATCTCAGGTTTGAAAACTGTGCCCAGAGACTGGTTATCCTATCTGAAATATTTTTCATGCTTTCCACTAGTCATTCCAGACACAGGACATGGAGCCACATCCTTCAACACGTGGCTCGCGATTCTGAGAATTTAATTTGTGTCTCCTCAGCTTGAATTAAATGTTAAAATAATGGCTTCTGTCGGTAATAAAACTCAGTGATAGAGCTGTCATATATGGAAGGTCAGTTTGGGGGGTTAAACACTAATACATAACACAGACTCTTGTCGTAATTTGTGGCATGGAGTGAGTGAAACAAAGTGGAGGAGGGACTGTTATAACTCAAAAGCACAAATGTCATAACTATGTTGCCAGCTTGAATGTAGTGTCTAGAGCTGAGGCATGGCATATAGCTATATACTAAATTTGTGATAATTATTATAACAATAATTCATATTAAATTATAAAACAATAAAAATTGCACAGGAATAATGGCTTTATACTAATATGTAATGTATTCATAAATCTTCACAACTAATTCATTTACATTGCCATATCCTAATTATTTACTGAAATTTACCATCATTTCTTAACTTTAAATTTTACTGAATTAAATTGTGAAAAAGTAGTAACAGCTAATGAGATATTGTACAAATGAATCCTTTTCTTAAAATCTTGTAAAATTTTGAAACATTACACGTAATTAACACATGTATAAAAAGGCCTGTTCATGGTGACATAAGCAATGAAACTTGTTACCTACTTGGATTAAGTGCTCATAACTGTTTATGTAGATAGATGTATTGTCAATTTGTCTAAAGGTTATATCCTTATTTTTCAGAAGGATGTAATGACCCGCGAGTTGCAAGAACAGAACCAGAGTGCTCTTCAGCAATTGGCTGAATTTGTAGCTCACCACATAGAAGCAGGACCAGTAGTGACACGCTATCTGGAGGAGAAGGGTTTGGTTCTTCCCCTGTCTCGTAGTCCTGGGGGATCTCTTACCCGTGTTCTGTCTCGTCATACACCATCATCAACCAGACTTTCACTTCCAGGTCCAGGTATAAAATTTGTCATTCTAACTGATTAGATTGTTCCTTCCTCAGAGGATAGACTTCTCCACCAGACACACTTGGCCTCCTTGTGACTGAGGTTTTTGTGACTTTCCTTCAGTTGCATATGTTTAGACTCACAAATCATTACTGCTTTAAAGAGCATTTATATTGTTGCAAAGGGACAATGATGCTGGATGAAATGTAAGTGACTCCCCAGCTTACAGCTATTATAAGCATACAGTCTTGCATAATTCATAATGGAAGAGTTATATGTTCAAGAATGACATGATGAATTAATTTAAATATAGTGCATTAACTGTAGAGAGGTGGTAAATCATGAGGGATGTGAGAGAAAACATTTGTGGTCCAAGAAACAAGATAGCCTCCTGGGCTTTATTTGGAGACACTGAGATAAAAATATATGTGGATTGTACCACCCTGTTGTAGTAAAATCTAACAAATTCTACATAAATTTCAAATAGCTTATTTATGAATTTACATAGTGAAAGTAAATAAAGTTAATTACTAATAGGCTACATGTTTTGTTTTGGCATAATGGCATCATCAGATTCCCATACTGTGTATCTATTAAAGCATAAAAATGTTTTTTGTTCATACTGTGCCTTACAGTATTATAATGTGTAATAGAAGAAGATTGTTTTATAAGTAATTTATTACTACAGTTTTAACTACCACTAAGAGTTATTCTGCATTATAACATTACAATGTTACTGTGCAGTTGTACTGGGAAATATTTTTACATGGTAATGGAACTTCTGTAACAAATTATTGGATGAAGATTTCCGTCTTCTGGGTTGTTGCGCTGTGTAGTCTGGTAGATTTCCACCAACGTTTCAGAGCTGCAGGGAACTCTGTACTTCATATAAGTTCTGAATGAAATGCAATTTTATGCACATGTCTTTAAAGAAAACATCTCACTGTAAAATGGCTGCCATTATGAATTTACGTGTATGCACGAAATTCTGTATCGAAGTAGGAATGATAACAACAGATAAAAAGCTTAAGTCTGTATTTGGAGAAGAAACACAGCCATTCTACACCATTACTACAATAATGAGAGAATAATATTGACAAACCTACCTATATGCCTGTACTGTTTGATTGACACAGCCTTTATGTTTATATGTGGCTACCTGTGTGAGCACCCCAACTAAACTAACCTATATACAGTAGTTGCATTTAATCCTCTCCCGTTTGCTTGATTTCAAAAGGGTAGAATTTCTATCAGAGGCCTTCCATTATTATTGCCCACTGAGGAAACATTCATGTTTATGGCAAAATTCACAGTGATAGAAAGGTGTTTCATTTACATGTTCTGAAACATCTAAAAGATTGAGTTCTACAAAAATTACCTGGAAAACAGATTTTTAGCCTGGATGGCCCATCACAACAATGCACAGGCTCACTTGGCACTTGCCATAAGGGAATTTTAACGGTGCACAATATTCAGTGGTTTACATTCACCTTATTCACGGGGTTAAGCACACACCAGCCTTTATCTGTTTAACTAGCTAACTAACTAGATGGCTTAGGGAACCGAAGGTTCGTCACCAAATTAACCAAAGCCCTCCACTGGCCCCTTTCCTGGGTCAGCAAAATCCAGTCTCCTTCAACTCCTATCTCCCACAAATCCCACTTGATATTATCCTCCCATCTATGTCTAGGCTTCCCAACCAATACCCAGTGCACCCCTCTTGCCCCATTCATGCGCGCCACATGCCCCGCCCATCTCATTCTTCTTGACTTAATCACCCTGACAATATTGGGGGAGAAGTACAAATTTTTAAGCTCATCATTATGCAGTTTTTTCCATACCCCATTCTCTTCTCTCCTAGGCCCAAATACACCCTATTCACAAACACCTCCTTTATCTGTTTTCAGATTGAAATCCAGAACAAAAGTACAAACTCCCATGGCACTGTGGGTGTTGCATTTACGTAGCAATCTTTCTTGGGAGGGCAGGACATTTGTTGACAATGCATAGAAGCTTTCTGAAAATCAAATAATTCTTCTTATAAGATGTTGATTTTCAAGTTGTGCATTGTCATATTGCTGAGTGGTAGCCATGGCTTCTGTCACACCATGAACAGATTGCAAGCGGTGGCATTAGAAACCTTTATTTGCTGATTGTGAATCTGAAGGTGGATATAAGGACAGAAAGTAGTCTAGAATAAAATTAAAAACAGTATTTCTGCAGCCAGGGTATTTTTTACTAACAAAAATTCTGCAACAAAGGAGTTAAAAGGCACTCACTAACTCACTACATGGCCTTGGAGCAGTATTCAAATGGTCAAAAGGGTGAAATTACCTGAGTAGGTCAGTGGATCAGACACGTGGAAATTTACTGAGCCCATTGGTTATGTTTGTTATTAACACACACCGAGCTGAAACAAATGTGAAAGCGGAACTTACACTCCAGTCCATTCATGAACTCCAATATGTTCATAAGAATGCAAACTTTTTAAAAATATTTACAGGCTCACCATCATCTAGTCAGTTATGTGTCTCTGCTCGTTCCCAAGATTTGGCTAGCAGCAGTGGCACAGCATCATCTAGGTCCAGTCACAAATCCAGATCCAGTCAGAGCCTTGCGTCTGTTACTGTCATAACACTGGATCCACTTCACTTGGATGGTGATTGTCTATAACATACTATATGAGTGTGTTTCATAGAATTCTGGGGTTCATTTCATTACAGTCAGTAGCTTAAAGCCAATTTTATCTGCAAGTAACAAAAACTGTGCTTCAGTGAAAGTAACCATAATGCTTAGTAGTGAGATAGGCTGGATTAGCTCTGATCTTGTGCAAATCAATAAATACAAAAGTGGAGAGACTTCTAGTTCTTAATAAGGCCTATCAATTTTATATATGATGAAACATTACAGTTTGAGCTTCATGTAAAATTCAGGTAATACTGAATTGATATAGTTCAAAATTAAATTCACCTGGCAATTCATATGCAGACCTCCATTACCAAACATAATTTAAATCTGTTTAGTAGTTTCATAGATTGACCATATGGACAGATAGATAAAAATACATGGCATTCCAGTTATTATTTCACTTTATGTATTTTGTGCAAGGAATGCAGCACAGAATTCTAAAATAGCTCAATTTATACTTTTAGGTACAGTTAGAACACACATAAATACACCATCAAAGCAGGTGCAATGGTTTTATTGTTTTGTAAGGTTACTTTAACCCTTCAATCCAGTACTTAAATTCACACTGCAGTAGCATTTAAAAGGTCCTGTAATAGCATCTGACATAGAATTTTTTGAGTGACTGTTTGGGACACCACAAATGGAAATGTTCAAATGCTGTGAGGACATACCTGAGTTGCTAGCTTGAAGGGTTAAAATCTGGGTTTGAACACAATTAGTTGCAGCATGAATATTTTCTCCTAGATTGGGGTGTTGAAACAGTGCTTGAATAAGACAAACTTGTTATCACTAAAAAGGTAATGAAAAGGTTAAGATAATTTATGATCTGAAGCTTTAATAATGACTGGGTATAATGAATTCTTCTCGGGCTACCATCCGTCAGGTGGTTTAATGGAGAAAACACCAACGCTACATTAAACCACCTTACATGGCTGGTAGCCTGAAAAGAATTCATTATATGGTTAAAATAATTATTTTTCAAATGAGTGAAGAATTTTGTGGGAATTGTCTATATCCTCTGCTCTGACAGATTTATAATACTACTTCAGAACAAGATATACATGAGGGACTAGAACAACGGTTATATGGTGCTCACTCAACAAATTTATTAGACAACTTTGTGAGGGAACTTAAAATCTCAAGCCCATGTGCTGTTATGAACTACAAATATGTATGAGGTTCAGAATCACAAATTATATAAATTATTATTCTTTTTGGGATGGCAGGGGCCCTTTAAGAGCCGAGATAGCTCAGTCAATATAGTGACTGACCATGGACTAGATGATGTTCAATCCCTGATGGGCAGAGAATTTTCCTCTAGTCTGCGTCCAGACTGGCTCTGGGGCCCACCCAGCCTCCTATCCGAGTACCAGGGTTTATTCCCTGGGGTAAAGTGCAGCTGGGGTGTGATGCTGACCACTCACCCCTATCTAGGGGCGAGGTTAAGAATGAGTAGGAGTTATACCTCCTCTCCCCCAAAGTGCCTACATGGTGGATAGTGGGACAGCTTTATTTTTTTAGGGGCCATTTGGGGGAAAGTTGTGTATTTGCTGATGTACAAGATACATCATTATTTCAGAAGTGTAAATATTTACTGTGCTTACATAACAAACTTTTGGTGTAAAAGAGATGTGAGATTAGGGGTCGTGTGAGGGTGTATTTTAAACACTAACAAATGATATATAATATGAGCTCTTGAATTAGCCAATACATGCCACACATTGCCACTCTTCTGATCTGTTTCTCTGTAACACTGCTGCAATTAATTCACACATGCAAAGACAACATATCTGAACATGTAAACATCCTACACTCATCACTGGCTCATATTAATATACTAATACTACAATACTGGATTTCTGCAATGAGAAAGTGCTTGAACTGAATCATGGGTTCAGATATTTGTTGCTTCCCTTCAGACACACACGGTCATAATCACCTCCTACAGAATCTCATAATGGTACAACTGTTTTGCTTGTAGGTGCTGAAACTGGAGCATCATCTGTGAAACACAAGTCTGTGAAGAAATAACAAAAATTTATATATGGAAATAAGAAATCGAAAATTTAAGATTTTAGAACACTAAAATTAAATTCATGTTTGAAGAAATTAATATGTTGTGTGTAGAGGCTATATTGGTATTATAATTTACTTGTAAGAATTTTTTTCTTTTGTTAATTTATTCTGATGGTAAAATTAAATGACAGACTATTCAGATGAAGGGCAGCAAATTAGTCATGAACAGTGAACAGTCCTGTATTCTGTTGATGTGTTCCTGTGGCCTCATCTTTGCTCACAGATTACATATTCTAGCCGTGAAGCCGTATATTTGAACATTCTCAGCACATTTTTTAAAAAAATGCCTTCTAACATTTCTGGATCATTTTCTGTGAGGTGACCCTAGAGCCCTGATGATGGAGGAAGTATGTTTCTCGCATGATGGAAGTACCCAAATGACCATCATGTACACAAAATTTAGGCTCTTAACAGAAATTTCCAGGGTTGCAACACCATTTGGACTAGTAAATAGATACCAGCATTTTGGAGGAACATACTAGTGCCATCTTTATGGCTTACGTTGGTATCTACCTATAATTCCACATGGTGCTAAGGCACAAAAGAAACAAATCAGTGTGTTTGCCATTGTGTTAACCTCAGATCTCATATTTGGATTTTTGACCAATAATGCCATCTGTGAAGCAGGTTGATTTAGTAACACCAGTTGTTGGATCTATGGAATGATACCCACGGTTATCAGATGTCAATGATGACAAACACCATTTCAGGCACATAACTTCTACATTTATACCCTGTATATTTCAAGGAAATGTAGTATCCATAATAATGTATTTAACAGTTTCATACTGAAGATTGCTGTCTTCTGGGTTATTGCGCCGTGTAGTCTGGTAGATTTCCACCAACGTTTCTGAGGTCATACTGCCTCCATCATCACGGCAATGAATGTGCCAATCAACCAAAAAGCTAACTAAAGGCGGAGTCCTGCACAAGCGCAAGACATCGTCCCTTCCTAGGTAACACCATTCCTATGTACGAAACGCATTGCTGGAAATGGTAAATAACTGAAACGGGAATTTTGCAAACGCTAACGGGGTTCCATCATGGCGGGAGCCTTTATCATTCAAACTACGGTCTGTTGCTGCTGATGGGAGGTTATCCCGTCAGGCAACTTGTCCAAAAATTTTGGTTGGTTGGTTGGTTCTCTGGGGTTTGAGCCCAGAGAGGGTGGGGCTGCTTCAGCTGAAGGCCTTCGTGATCAGGGGTGGCGGGCCGTGGCCCTATTAAATAATACCCTGGCATTAGCCTTACAACTGAGGAAAAGCATGGAAAACCTCAGTCACCAAGCAGAAAGGGCCAGGTTTATAGGGACTGGACAGTAACTGGAGGAGCCTGATCCTAGCCTATGAGAGCAGGTGTCAAATCAGGCATGGGTAGGGACCAATAGGAGTGCGTGGGCAGGTCTAGCGGTGTGTGTGAGAGAAAGGAGAGGTCCAAGAACTAGCCCTATTGAGGGCCTCAGGAGGGAGTCCATCCGGCGAGGTACCAGACATTGGGAGTCGGGTGGAGAGTGGAAGCAAGCACAGGTCCTACATAGTTTGATACTGTCTGAAATACCTGTTGTATTGTATTTAAGAGAACACATACTATGAATGGGTGTACATATGCTTTCTTAAAATAAGCTTACAAAGGGTAGGGTATGTTCACATGCTTTGAAGGAAGTGTGACAACTTTATGAATTTTTGGAAAGACATACTAATAATCGGGACACTGGAGTTATTAAAATACTTCTTCAAATTTCATACATTGTTTTTTGTGCATAACACTGTTATCACAGGTTTTACTCTGTATTAGATATTATAATGTGGATGTAAGCATGTATTACCACATACAGGTGATTAACTTGCATGCTGTTTAATGGAAACACATAAGAGTTGTGGTAACAGTGTTCAACCAGTAAAAGTTAAGTGTTAGACTTCATTATCAGAGTAATATTAAGTGTATGCGAATTGGTTTAACAAGGTGACTATCTCACTGCCACGAGAACCTGAAATCTCATCTGGTTTAACAAGTCTTGTTTTTCTTATATCTATCAGATGGAAAAGAGAATGTTTCTCAGCAACACTAGATATTTTTATTTTTAAAAAGCTACAGATATTTCAATGTACAGTCCCCTTACTGAATGTGTTGCACCACTGGAAACTATCCTATATTTCAGCAACTCATTTATGTATATTATGTCCAGCACAATAGTGAAGTACAACACACTCCACAAATTATTTTTTATAACTCTGGGTACATGTTTTAGTGAATGGGACAATAATGTTCCTCTCTATTCCACCGGTGTAAAGTATAATGATATGCCTGCATATATTTTGTTCATCTGTATGTCTTGCTTAAAACTGAAATAAATGTGAATTTTTTTGTAAGTATTTGTACGATTTCCCATTTTTTACAGATCTTAACATACCTGGAGTATACTCTATTTTTTTTCAAGAAAGCTGAAGTAGTCATATTTAAACCAAATGCTAAAGTATATAATAACCAAGGAAAAAGGTACTAACTAAAATAATTCAAGAATCATTTAGGATATGCTGACCTCCTGATGGTGAACATTCACCAATAATACAGATTTGTGATGAGTGTGCATTGTACTTAAAATGTAATTCATGGAGACTGTACCATATATAGGAAAGATTAAGATTAATTAAGTAATATATAAATTGTTCATTATATCTATTTGCAGATCTGACTAAATGTATGGCATTTAGCTATGATATTATACTCCTGGGGGAAGTCCCCAGGTACCCACTGGATAGGAAGGAAGGTGGGTAAATGCAGTACCAGTATGGATTGGGCGGGGAAGATAAATGCAGCTATTACTGCCAAGAAATGAACCCAGGCCATCATTTTACTGACTGACTTATTCACAGAGAATAGCTCTGGAAAATACAAATATAATTTTGTCTTCATGACACACACTCATTACAGATTTTCTGCTGATAAAATCAGGGATGGTAACATTACAGTATTCTGAATCATTCTGTACATTGAATATTACAAGACGGTTACACCACAGACTGAATGAAGAGCAGCATAACAGAGAAAAAAGAAGAGAGGGATAAAGAGAAGGAGTGGAGGCAAAATGGAAACAGATGACAATGTAAGGAAATGGGAAACAGGTGAGGAATTCTGAGAGAGAATCAAAGAGACTTACAGAAAAAAGAACATTATTGTATCAGCTAACAGTCAACTAAAGACTTCTAAGATTTGAGGTTTTCACAGCGATGACATCTGAAATGTTGGTTAACATCGACCAGACTACACAGCGCAACAACCCAGAAGACAGAAATCTTCAACTAAAGACTTATATACTCACTGAATATGAAGCGATCCAAGACATAAAACAATCATTGATGATAAAGTGTTATATTATATACATAATACATATATTTATACTATTTTGAACAAACTCACAGTGCCACAACACAAAATTATATTTCAGAAAGAAGCCCTAAAACTCAATGCTCAAAATTCATGGCACTGGTACAAGTTGTATGTGGTAAAAACTGAAATTAAAACAGAATGCTGCATGGCCTCAAGGAAAAACGGAACAGTGGAAAACGAGTTAGAACATTGAATGAGAAACTGGATATAGGCCCCTTTCACAAGGTCAATTTGCTTCTGTGGCATGCTGCTCCACACCATTAGAGACACAGTGACTTGCATGCAGGTCTACATACAATTCACTCACAGTGGCTCCATTCCTGGCCTCTGGGAGCAACAGAAAATCCCTGTTCACTCACTAATTTCTGCTTTTAGCAACTCATGTCAACCACAAGAAATTTAGTCTTACGAGTGTTTCACATGGTCAACACCTCAGCCACATGGTAGCAACAATGGGCAATTTCTTAATTAATGAAATTGAGGAGTGACCTGTGTTGTGGGATACATGCAGTCCTGACTATGCAAATCGTGTGAAAAGGGAGGATTGCTAGTAGGAAGTGTGCAGATAGGAGATAGATGGTTTCAATTAACTGCACCAGGAAAGAAAAAATGAAACAGGTATGCAATTTCTTAATTTTTATTTTTAGCCTGGTTTCCTTAAGTAAATAAAGAAGGCTCATGAAGTCACCAAGCTGTCTGGCTTTCTGAGTTCTGTTCATAACTCATTGTTTATTGTAACATTGCTAAGGAACAAGTAATTTTTGTTACAAACGTCTGCAGTGAATTATATAGATTCTGAAGTGTTACAATACATAAACCTGAAAGCAGTACATTCTACAAATGATGCACGAGATAATTATTCACTTCATTCTAAAACACTTCACATTTATGTATACTGCAATGGCAACTCACCAACAACTGCAAAATAATCCGAAAATGTATTGAAAATGGCATTAGGTGTCTTCCCACTACTCTGTTCTCTACACCGAAAATTTTTTAATCCTTCAAAACATAAAGTATTCTAAAACTGAAAGCTGTCTCTCTGTCACACAAGATTATGCAGTATTACATAACGTTTTACAATATATTCATAACATTCCAAAAATACATCTGATGACCTGTGAAAAATTCACCACTTATTTGAATGTATTCCAAATGAGCATTCAACAAATCACCATGCCCTTGACAAGTAATAATTTAAGACCCTTTTTGCATTCGTAAATTCTTTCCTCCATATGGGCACATGACATGGCTTGGTAGACCAAATGTCTCATCTGCACAAAAATGTGAGGCAGCTTAGGTTTGTCTATGCCAGGTAACTCAATGGGATTTGGAATATCAAGTTTGTTGGAAATCAACTTTTTCCACAGTTTTGAGTTCAGGACAATGGATGAATAAGAACTCTACCCAAATCTATCAACGTCAAAAGCAATTAAATAGTAATTCACATCAATGCACAATAGAAGCGTAGTTTCCATAATTTAAAATTAGTGATCCACTATGTTCTGGTTTTATCAACTGTGTTTCCCACCAATGGCCGCTATGCAATTGGGAAAGTTTGTCTATCATCTGCAGTATTTTGCCACAGATATTTATTTGGTTCATGCAAGCAGATGCCTTTTACAAGAATCCATATTTTCTTGCAAACATTTTGAATGATATTATTGAGTGTTAAAATTCAAATTCTGTAATATTATTGGTTCTGTTAATGCACAGCCTGATCCAAGGAACCTGGAAAGAAATCTGACCTGTAAGTTCACCTTGAAGTGAATATTACCTAGTAACTTAATTTCAGGACTTGAGCTTCAATGCAAGTGGAAAGACATTAGAAATTCATTCTCAAGAGAATACAAAAAATAAAATTCACTCCTCTGGTATAAGGAGCAGAAGCAATGAGGAAGATATATGTTTATGATGATCAACTCTCATTCTTTCAATCTTAGTACCTGTCATCACTAACAAGAAGTACAGTTACAAGGTGGTGCCTTACCTCTCACGGAGCCAAATACAGTGCAAAGAACCAAATTTGAAATCACTTAAGTTCAAGGCACTTATATTCAAACACATATGTTTGAAGAGTGTTAAATCAAACATGCAATACAGGAAAAATATTTTAAATTTCAGGACTATTTCAAGCATGGATAACAGTGATCCTTCTGAAGCAGAAACTCTATCAGCATCAGAAGAATGTACCACGGAAATACACATTTTTCCAACCCAAAGGTGCCTAAGAAGGCTACTAAATGAATAGAAGTTACAAACTCACAACTCTGTTTTGATGTAGCAACAGAAAAGATGTGCAACATCCTTACTGAGTCTTAAACAAAGAAGAGCTATTGAGAAGTTTTATACTTTCATTAGTTTAGGAAGACAGATCTATCCTCCCCCTCCCACAAAAAATGAAACTAGATGTAAAAATGTAAATTATATCCACTATTAAGAAATATAAGTTCATGGATAGTCCAACTGCTGCAAGAGCTTCAAGCTATCCACTGAATTCCACTCTCTATTACAGCCAACAACCTCGATCTCACTATACGCACACAGTTGGTTTACTTTCATTCCCAACCACTATACAATTACTTGGGTAGCTCAGCACCAACCAGAGCCCCGCAAAACAGTCTGACTTTCTCTACTGCTCCAACAGTGAATGGTCCTCAGTGTTACTCGGACAGCCAATTGTCAAATTCTTTGAGCCTCTTGAATATAATTGATGATACAGTGAAGAGTCCACAAATATTAATTTACCATGTAAAGCCTAAAATTCATGAAAAATAAAAAAAACTTCGGTTTCTACTTCACTGCATCCAATTCATATAGAAAATTAAAATGTGTAGGAAAATTATAGCTACTTCTGATAATCACATGAAACCCAAGAATGCTCTCTGTAGGCTGAATACAGTATTTTGTAAATGTTAAATTTGATGCATAAGTGATTTTGCAACCACTGCATTTCAAAGTGTTAGCTAATATTTTTGATAAAACAGTCAATTTATTATATTTCCTATTTAAAAACTGATAATGCTGCTGTTTCATAACCATTTAACATATTAAAAGTTTTCAAATCTGAGGTGCAATGGATACAGAAAATTTAAGTTCAGTTATTATTTCTACCAATTACAGCAGCTGTCATCAAACTGTGTTATATAGTCACAGAAAAATCATACATCGCTGCACTGCACTGAACAGCGTTGCCCAGGTGAGTGAAGACAACTGAGAACTCACACTCCAGCAAAGCTAACAATGGTGTATTGTTTTGACTTAGAGCTGCATGGCAGGGGGATGGGTGAAGTCCTTTCATGGCCTTAAAGCAAGCAATCTGGTGACGGCTACTATAGGAATGACATAGAAGGAAAAATAAATGAATATGCAATACATACCATAATGTTACAGCTAAGCTTTCCTTTCCTGGTATTATCTTCACATGTTGGTACACCACTCATAAATTGAATCTGTCAGCACACTTTTCAATTCATCAAATGACTTAGGCAACATTTTAAAGCAGATGGAGAATTTTCCAGAATCTTCTTGCTGTTCATTAAGTAGTGTATAAAATGCACCAGTACTCGATTAAGTAGTCAGCCCTGAATGTACCCATAGTTTTCTTCTCTTCCTCCTCCTACTACTTTCATTCTTTCCAAACAGCAACATCACAGCTAATGCTTCTTCTGGTTCCAACATGATCTGAGACAATGAGGTTTATTTCTCTGGTGAGCTTGTGGGTGGATTGAAGTGGCGTTCCTTGGTGTTGTCAATTAAAATAAAGTGAAGTGGAGTAGCATGGCATGGAAATAAGTTGATTATGTTAAAGCACCCTTACAGTTAAATGTTGTGAATGGTTTTGACAAAAAAAAACCCCAAAAAAAAAACAAGTTACTTAAGATTGATGTAACCAACCAACCAGCCAGTATGAAATCCATGTATATTAATGCTGAAATACTGCTGACTGGCAGAAATAACATTTAATGGCCCCATGCAAATAGGACGGGGGGACAGTCTGAACAGACTATTAAGCTGCAGCGGTGGGAAGAACCAATCGCCAACAGTTTTTGCTCAGTCTTCCTTACTATTTCATCGGCTGAGAGGAACTGAAGCAGTCTTCTGACACTCTGCTATTGTATCCGTATTATCTCAGGCATGTTGAAACTGTGCACTGAATACTACCCAGGTTCCTAGTGTGCTTAATTGAAGCTTGGAAATGGCATAGATCAAGAAGGAAAACAATCACCAAGCAACACAAAGAACACAATATCTATATATTTATATATATATTGATATTAAAACCAGATACAACATCTCAGTAATATTAACCCCCCCCCCCCCAAAAAAAAAAAATAGCCACCGAAGCGACGTCCGCTGTATAGGGTAACAGACAGAAATAACAACTTACCACAGCGGACGTCCCACCGGTCAACCGCCTGTACAGGGATAACCCCTCAAAGCGGAACACAATTCTGAAGTACCAAGCCGAACTATAATTTCGATGAAGTACATCGGGTGAAAGCCTGCACAGAAAAAAAAAAGAAGTGGTCTTCAAAGTTCCTTCACAACACAGTCCCACACAGTGGACAGGAAAAAGGTAGAAGGGTTGGAGCTATAACAAGGACAACCGTGCATGCCCGTCCGACCACATTCATAAAGCTAGTGAATTCATCATCGCTAAATTAGCTGTAACCCTTTCGTTACGGCTACCCATGGCACACTAGGACTGCAGCCAATTTTGTGGGTAACAAGTCCTGATAGAGAGCAAAAATTATGCAGAGAGAATTTCAAGAGAGAAAAGGAGTGGGAAACTAAGGAATACAGTAAATAGAAATTGTTCAGTAAATGAATGTAATACATGTACATATATATGCATATTAAAGAACTCTAGATAAGCAACCTGACTTCTGACTAGTCCCTGCCTCCCTTATGCATGTGGAAAGTTAGAGAGATAATGAGATTCAGCCAGTTGAAGTACTCTGATTCCTTCCCACATAAGGTTCACAGTAGAACATGTCTTTTTGTGGGGGATGGGCAGGTATGGCAACAGCCTATGATACCAAATGCCACAACAAATGGTGGAAAGCAGTACAATTTATTCCCTAACTAGCCACTTTACAAGTGCTGGCATTGGGGGAACTCTCGGTTGCATTACATTTTTAAACTTTAGTAATTATTCATTACACAAAATCTTTCAAGACATCAATGTTTAAGAATGTAAAATATTCTACTTGATATGTGCATATACAAAAGAAAACATAATAGCAAGACATTAATTCAACATTTCTGTCATAGATGTGGAATATAAAGGTACATGACCTGCACATATATTAACACTGAGCTCAATAAGCCATACTGAATCTCTTACCCTATATATGCAGCCAACATCAGTATGAGATACTGACCTAAGCAGCGTCCCAATTTAACCTGTCTTTGTATGTATACTGCTGTGTAATGATGGAATTTTGTAGACAAGGCTTTGCTGTTGCTTCTAGTGTATTTATGTACCAGTTGCATAGTAAGATTCCTCTTAAATGTCCTATGTTGTCAAAGATTATAAAACTTGTATTAGAGACAGTTACCTATATTCATGACTTGCCTCTTACAAAATGTGAATCACCTTTCTTTCACACAGAGCTGGAGTCTGAAGTCATCTGGACCAACACTTGACAATGCTGCTGTAACGTCTGGACGTTTGCTACAAGATATGCATTCTCTACATATAAATCTTTCACCAGAATGTCAGTTCTTGCTAGGCGCTCCATCTGGAAATAGAATTAAATGTTTTATTAGTACATTTTATTGGAATTTGTTGAATATTCTGGAGTGACATTTCTTTCAAATAAACAAAATGAAAATCAGTCCACAACACAACCAACATATTTATCCAAGTATAAGATGAGAAATACTGTATGACCCAATAGTAAATATTGGTTATTATAAAGACAATGGAACACTTTCACAAGAACATTAATGGAAGGAAATCCAGTTTTGCACAGGCCACTGGGCTCTGGCCTAGTTACTGTGTTTCAGTAATCTCAAAGGTCAGACAGTCCACTAGGTTCAGCATCACCAGGAGTTCAAATTTATGTCTGATCATTATCAGGGTGGAATCACACCAATGCAGACATTCTACCTAAGATGATGTCCAGACTAATGCGTTCACAGCTAGGTCAAACAACAAGCAGCAGTCCGAAGGTGAGAGTCATCTCTGCTGTCACTGCAAATCATTGAAACCATGCGACAAAAAAAAATGGAACGGCCGAATGGCGACATTCACGAAGAAAGTACTGGCAGAGCTCCACAGATGACCTTCTGTATGACACCCTGGGGTCAACAAGACTCTAGATAAAGTCACAAAACAATACTACTGGCTGAACTCGAGGAGAGACTTCGAGAGGCAATGCTGGCAATGTAACCACAAACCAAGATCCAGGGCCTGATGCACCAATACAAAATGAGGGAACCATTTGAGATGACTGCCAAAGGCATCACTGGATCTTTTGATTGAGCAGCATCTAAGGAAGGTCGCTTCAGTACACCAGAGAGATTGGGAAAAGAGGTTAAACATATTCCTGCTTGCACAAAGAGCACCAACCAACCCATGTGACCACAGGCATGATGACCACCAGCCTGGTGTTCAGAAGGGAACTACAACTGCTCTGTAACTTATTGTTCGGGGTCCTCTGACAAGAAGCAGTCTGTTATCGTCTGCATGGTAAAACTCAAAGACCACTACATGACATTCATCACTATGTCCATAAACATCATAAGGATGCCAGCAACAGGATGAAAGCCTGCTATGACCATATAACCAATTCTGCGCAATTTCAGGAAGGAGAACAAGTGTGGTTGTACTGCCTGATCTGGACCACAGGAAAGCAGCCATCCTGGGAAGGTCCACGGAAGGTCAACTGGATCAACGAAGTGGTCCACCAGAACCAGTGAGATCTGAGGGCAGAAATGAAGGCAGTATACCTGAACAGACTGGTGACATACCTAGCAGATACTCAGAGTGAGCAGCTATGAAGAGGGAGTAGTTTTATAAGTATTAGCCATGGAAACTTTGGTGTTCAGCTGGAGTGCAACTTGCCACCTTCCTCACTATGGATCCATAGGTTGGCTTTATGTCACAAGCAGTCCATGCATGTGGCTCAGGATAGAGGGGACAGGCAGCAGCTGGAAGGGTCTTATGGCTTGGAGAACTGAAATCTGGCGAACAATTTCTAGAATTATAAATGAGCTGGTGCAACTAGAGAGGGCGAGGGGGAAGGTCAGACAGAACTTCACTGTGCAATGAGCGAGAGGTAAGTCATAGTAGCAGTAGTAGATAACAAGACACACTGTTGTGTATATGAGTGAAGAACTGGACAAGAGAACATACGTTGTAGAGAACAACAAACTGAAAATTGTGAAGGGATGGCTTACCGAACCCGAAGGTTCATCACCGAATTAACCAAAGCCCTCCACCAGACCATGTCCTGGGCCAACAAAATCCCTTTTCCTTCAACTCCTATCTCCCATAGATCCCGCCTGACATTATCCTCCCATCTACGTACAGGTCTCCCCAGCGGTCTCTTCCCTTCAGGTTTCCCAACCA